GAGCGGCCACTGCACTCCAGTCTGGGTGACAGTGAGACTCCAACTCAAAAAAAAAAGTTTATTGTGGAGACGAGATCTCACCAATTTTTTCAGGCTATTCTCAAACCCCTGGACTTAAGCAGTTCTCTTGCCTCCACCTTCCAAAGTGCAGGAATTACAGGTGTGAGCCACTGCACCTGGCTTTTTAATTTTATTTTAGTCATTCTAATAAGTGTGTAGTGTGTCAAGTGTGTGTTTTCTGTGTGTGTGGACCCATTTCTCACTTAACTATGAGAAGATCAATAACTAATTTAGGTACAAATAATGGCAAACTTCTTTCATTAGAGGTTTCTCAAAAGTATTCTATAGAGACTTCAGTCCTTCTAGCCAGGTGTGGTGGCTCATACCTGTAATTCCAATACTTTGGGAGGTCAAGGTGGGAGGATAACTAGAGGCCAGGAATTTAAGTCCAGCGTGGCAAAACAGCAAGACCCCATCTCTATATTAAATAAATAGATAAATAAATAAATAAATAAATGACTTCAGGCTTTCTTTTAACAGGTTATTCCTGCAGAACTGATAAGCTAATTGGCCATAGCTGCTGACCTAGAGCCAGACATCCTTATAATTTTATTTTATTTTTAGTTGGAGTCTCACTGTGTTGCCTGGGCTGTAGTGCAGTGGCATGCTCACAGCCACCGCAGCCTTGATCTGTTGGGCTCAGGCGATCCTTCCAAGTAGCTGGAACCACAGGTGTGTACCACCATACCCAGCTAATTTTTTAATTTATTGTAGAGACAAGTCTCAGCAAGTTGCCCAGGCTGGTCTCGAACCTGTGGGCTCAGGCAATCCTCTTGCCTCCACCTCCCAAACTGCTGGAATTACAGACATGAGCCACCGTGCTCAGCTTCCGACACCTTTTTATAAGAGCCTTGATGTGGGACTTAACCTGCGTGACTTCCTAACCTGAAGATTGCTGTCCTTCCTTTCTGAGCCACTCTGGTTTTTGGGTTTGTTTGTTTGTTTTTAAACTATATGAGAGTACTAATCTGTCATCTGAGCCATTCTTAGTGCCTCTTTAATTCTTTATTTTTCTCTCTGCAGGACCACCTGTTGATTCAAAAACCCAAAGAGATGGCGCAATTTTTCTTTTTTGAAAAATTTGCCCATGGCACATCTTTCTACCATGAATCTTTCTTCTTCTTTCTTCTCTTTTCCTCACTAATAAACTGTTTGAAAATTTTTTAAAAATACCAAAGAGATACAAACAATAAATATCAGAGAATATATTTTAATTTTTTGTTTTTGACTTTTTTCCTTTTTTTTTGGGACAGGGTCTTGCTAAGTTTCCCAAGCTGGTCTTGAACTCCTGAGGTCAAGCGGTCCTGCCGCCTCAGCCTCCTGAGTAGCTGGGACTACATGTACATACCACTATGCCCAGCCTAGAGTATATCTGAATTTGTTTTTTTTGTTGTTGTTTTTTTGAGTTGGAGTCTCACTCTGTCGCCCAGACTGGAGTACAGTGGCTGCTCCCGGCCACCGCACCCTCAACCTGCTGGGCTCCGGTGATCCTTCCGCCTCAGCCTTCCGAGTAGCTGGAACTGCGTTGGTGGTATAGTGGTGAGCATAGCTGCCTTCCAAGTAGCTGGAACTACAGGCGCGCGCTACCATGCCTGGCCAATTTTTGATTTATTGTAGAGCTCCCATAGTGGGAGGGTACCTGAAAGAGTTGCCCTGCTTGCTTTTATTTAGAAAACAAACTCAGGACCGGGCTTGGTGGCTCAGCCCGGCCCTGAGTTTGTTTTCTAAATAAAAGCAAGCAGGGCAACCCCTTCAGGTACCCTCCCACTATGGGAGCTTTTCTGTCTTCTCAATAAATCCTGCTTTCTAAAAAAATTTTAAAAAAGCAAGCAAAACCTCTTTGTTTTACTGTGTATTCATCACCCCAATTGGTGTTTTTTGGCTTGTAGTTCTAACTGTACCTGCTGGTCAGGTTGCAGAGGAGACTGTAATTGACGAGGAAGAAGAAGAAACGGTGAAGTTGCCACTGACAAAGAAACCAAGGATAGAAGAGATGACAAAGAGTGTGGAGGAAAACAAGGTAATGTTTTTAGCAATGATGGAGAGAAGAGAAAGGAAAGAATTGAAAGCCATACTATTAATGCCCAAATCCTTTTTTTTTTTTTGAGTTGGAGTCTCACTCTGTCACCCAGACTGGAGTGCAG